ATGCATATTTCAAAAGGCAACATATTTGACTGGAGACACTGTCAAAGATTGCCACATACAATATCAGAAACGCATATCTAAAAATGTACCCGATTGGAAAGGAGACATTGTCAAAGATTGCCACATGAAATATATAGAACGCCTATCTCTGTATGTACCAGATTTGGCTGGAGACATTGTCAAAGATTGCTACATGATATATCTAGAATGCATATTTCAAAAGGCAACATATTTGACTGGATACTGTCAAAGATTGCCACATACAATATCAGAAACGTATATCTAAAAATGAACCAGATTGTAAAGGAGACATTGTCAAAGATTGCCACATGAAATATATAGAACGCCTATCTCTGTATTTACCAGATTTTGCTGGAGACATTGTCAAAGATTGCTACATGATATATCTAGAATGCATATTTCAAAAGGCAACATATTTTGACTGGAGACACTGTCAAAGATTGACACATACAATATCAAAAACGCATATCTAAAAATGTACCAGATTGGAAAAGAGACATTGTCAAAGATTGCCACATGAAATATATAGAACATCTATCTCTGTATGTACCAGATTTGGCTGGAGACATTGTCAAAGATTGCCATAAGTTATGTCTAAAACAATAGTCCATACAGGTACCAGATTTGCTACCAAATTTCACTAGCGATACTGTCAAAGAATACCTAATGAAACATGTACAACCTGAACATGAAATATCTAGAACGCATATCTCTGTATGTACCAGGATTTGGCTGGAGGCATTGTCAAAGATTGCGACATGAAATATCTAGAATGCATTTTTCAAAAGGCAAAACATTTGACTCGAGACACTGTCAAAGATATCAGATATTAGAAAGGCATATCTGCAAATGTACCAGATTGGACTGGAGACATTTTTAAAGATTTCCACAAGTTATGTCTAAAACAATAGTCCATACAAGTACCAGATTTTACTGGAGACATTGTCATAGATTGCCACATGAAAAAACTAAAACGCCTATCTCTAAAGGCATCATGTTTGACTAGAGACCTTATAAAAGATTGCTTCATGAAATATCAGGAACGCATATCTCTAAAAGTACCAGATTTGAAAGGAGACATTGTCAAAGATTGCTACATGAAATAATAATAACGCCTATCTCTAAAGGCATCATGCTTGACTAGAGTGCTACATGAAATATCAAGAACGCAAATCTCTATATGTACCAGATTTGATAGGAGACATTGTCAAAGATTGCCACATGAAACATCAAGAACGCCTATCTCTAAAGGCACCACGTTTTACTGGAGTCATCGTCAAAGATTGCCACATGAAATATCAAAAGCGCATATCTCAATATGTACCCGATTTGGCTAGAGAGATTGCCAAAGATTGCCACATTAAATGATATACAACTGCTATCTTAACAGGTGCCTGATTTGTCTAGATATATTGTCAAAGATTGACACATTAAATATCAAGACTGCATATCTCTACATATTCTAGATTTCACTGGAGATATTTCAAAGATTGTCACATTTATTATCGGGAACGCCTGCCTCAAAAGGTGCCTGATTTGCCTGGAGACATTGTCAAAGATTGCCACTTTAAATCTATACAACTGCTATCTTTACAGGTACCTGATTTGTCTAGATATATTGTCAAAAATTGACAAATTAAATATCAAGACTGCACGTCTCTACATGTTTTAGATTTCACAGGAGATATTGCAAAGCCTGCCACATTCGTATCGGAAACGCCTACCTGAAAGGATATCAGATGTGCCCGGAGACATTGTCAAAGATTGCCACACTAAATATCTGGAGAGTCAATCTCTATATGTACCACATTTCACTGGCGACACTGCCAAAGATTGCAACTTACAATATCTACAACCTCAATGTGTACGGGAACTAGATTTGGCTGGAGACATAGTCAAATATTGCCACATAAAAATATCAAGAACACATACCTCTACATGTACCAGATTTCGCTTGAGACATTATCTAGAATGTCACATGTTATATTTAAAACGCCAGTCTCAAAATATACCAGATTTGCCTGTCAAAGACATTGTCAAAGATCGCCACATGAAATACCTGGAGCGTCAATGTCCATTTGTACCACATTTCAGTGACGACACTTCCAAAAATTGCCACATGAAATATCTAGATCGCTTATTTCTACATGTATTAGATTTGGCTGGTGATATTGTCAATGATTGCAACATAAAATATCTAGAATGCATGTTTCTAAAAGAAACATATTTGACTGGAGACACTGTCAATGATTGCCAAATAAAATATCAAGAAGGCGTAGCTCTAAATTTATCCAGGAGTTATTGCCAACGATTGCCACATGTTATATCTTAAACTCAGGTAGCATAGTAGGCTGGATACATTCCCTAAGACACATAAAACATAAAGAACGCATATCTTTACACATACTAGATTTGGCTTGAGACATTATCATAGATTGCTCATGAAATATAGAGAACGTCTATCCCTACAGTCACCAGATATGGCTGCAGAAATTGTCAAAGATTGCCATATGAAATATTTAGAACTATTATCTCTACAGGTACCAGATTTGACAAGAGAAATTGTCAAAGATTGCCACATTAAATATCAAGAACGCATATCTCTACATATTCTAGATTTCGATGGAGATATTTCAAAGATTGCCGCATGAAATATCTAGAACCTTGCCTCAAAAGGTGCCAGATTTACCGGAAAACATTGTCAAATATTACCACATGAAATATCTAGAACGCCTATATCTAAAGGCACCAGGTTTGCCTGGAGACATAGTCTAATATTGCCACAAAAAACATCAAGAATACATATCTGTACATGTTACAGATTTGGCTGCAGATATTTTCAAAGATTGCCAAATAAAGTATCTAAAATTTCTATATTTTCAGGCATCATATTTGCCTGGAGACTTTGTAAAAGATTGCCACATATAACATCAAGAACGCATATCTCTACGTGTACCAGATTAGGCATGAGATATTATCATGGATTGCTCATGAAATATATAGAACGTCTATCTCAACAGGCACTGTTGATTGCGCTGGAGATATTGTTAAAGTTTACCACGATAAAACATATAGAACGTCTATTTCTTCGGGGACCAGATTTGACTGGATACATTGTCAAAGAATGCCACATGAAATATGTAAAACGCCTGTCTCAAAAGGTACCAGATTAGCCAATTTCCACTGAATCAAGGGCAATAACTTGGTCAATACTGATTTAAAGATAAATTTATAGGTTATTTTAGTCTTATTCATGAACATACAAGAAATACATTTACATATCAATATTCAACATTAAAGTGTTAAAGTAGTTGATCAATCTATTACAAATTTATAGGTGAAGTATTTTATTTTACAAATCAATGAACCTTTCTAACCTCTTACATCTACCTATGTATACACATTCATAGTCTATTTCTTCTTTCTTTAGCACTTTATTTCATCTTTTTAGCACTAACAACACAATCTTCTTTTGTACATTACAGTGTAATAACGTGTAAGCCGGCAATAAATGTGCCTTTAAATGTAACTAAAACTGTCACTAAATGTGACTTTATTACCCCTGCCAACAAATTGATAGTTAACACTATGACCAACTTACCTGGAGTTGACTAAAGCGCAAAGAAAATTACAAACAGACCAACAAAACAATGTTTTTTGCACATCTTGAAACCATCTAAACGACATACAAGTATATTTGGAAAATGTTTTTTCAAAACATGAAAAAGTGGTTTGCGACACAAACTTACACTGCATCTATATTATGTTATATAGTGACGGAAATACCAGAACATATGTTCCAAACAGATCGATGAAAATATATGTGTCTTGCACATCTTTACGTACAAACTAAATTTGAAAATGATCGATGAAAACCTGTATGAGTAGTTGGCGACACAAACTTACACAGCAGTTTTATTATGTTATATGGTAACGGAAATGGCGTAACGTAAATTACAAAACAGAGTGAAAATAAATGAGTCTTGCACAGCTTCATCCCATTTGCAAGACATATTCCAAATCTGAATATGTTTGCTCAAAAACTGTGGGAGAAGTTTGTGACATAAACTTGTAGCGAAAATGTATTATGTGGCTCGATAACAAAAAAGAGAGTAACGTAATTACAAATTTAGCAGTAAATATATGGCCTTCACACCTTCAACCCACCTGAAAGACATATACTAAATTTTAAAATGTTTGCTAGAGAACTGTAGGAGTAGTTCGCCTCAAATCTTACTTAGTCTGTACCTATATTACGTTATTTTAGCATCGTGAATAATGTAATGTTAGTTATAAACAGCATAATGATAAGTGTGACTTGCACATACATGTACATGTATTTAACCATAATCTACAAGTCATATACAAAATTTGAAAATGTTTCCTCAAAAACTGTGTGTTTGTGACACAAACGGAAGGACGGACGTTCTATTGTTTAATAGAGGGCAAAGGGCCACTTATTCTATTGTTACGGAATGGACTTTTGTTCTTTTGTGTTCTGTTTACAGTTTAAGTCATCCCCCACCTCTTTTCGGTAGCCCGGAAGGACGGAGGGTAAACTTATAGTCACCTCTGGTAAAACCATTTATATAAAAATGAACTTTTATTTGTTTGCAAATTAACCAATGAACTTTAAAAAGCCATGTTCATTTATGTTTTGGAATTAACCGAATTCATAAAATGAATTTCACAAATGATTTTATTTTCAAAATTTATTTAGTCATTATTATTATAACAATATATAAATTTAAAAAATAATTTAGATGCCCGAATGAAAAAAAATCCAACTTTTTTTAAATATCAATTTCTACAGTATGCTTATAACACAATTTACGCAAGCGCAATGCACGTTCAAACACAAATGAATACCAGTTTATATGAGAGAATAACGCTATAAAACTATCTGATAATTTAGTGGTAGCACACCTTCACAACGATCCTTTCACCAAGATGACAACGATTGCAAAAAGTGACACCCGTCAATATGCGCAGATCACTATAACGTCCATGTTGACGAAGAGTTGGAGATCTAGACTTCTGTATTCAAAACAAAAAGAAAGCAGGTAAGCAAACGTTACTTGTCGGAGACCATCAACCGGACACTTTTGGAACATTTTTCCGTACACACGGTGCGTAATCGTTCCGGGCTGATTTGGAATATTTTCCCGTTCCTGAACTGATTTGGATTTTTTTCACCGGATTGATTCAACAGTCAAATAAAATGGATTTTTAGCTTGACAAGGTAAGAAAATATATAAAATAAGCACATTTACATCTGTAAGTCTTTGAATATTCTACTTGCACGGAACATTGCAATGGTTAAGGAATTCATATACAACTTTATAAGGTTTTTTAATGGTCTTTTATGAGTTGGAATCGGAAAACAAATTTCACATGTCAGTGAAGTTGTAGCAAACATGAGCATAAAATTGCCAAAAAAGTCATTATTATCTATGATTTTCCGGGTATTTCATGATCAACTAAAGAAAAAAAATCTTTCCGCGATAATTTAATGGTTTTTGTTTAATGTTTTATCCAGTAATAAATTTGTAGTACGTATTTTTATGACAACTCTGTAGACATATTAGGGCACCGGATAATTTGATTCATATTAAGGGGGCAGCACGAAATACCCAAATATTGCCCAAATATTGCCCAAATATACCCAAATATTGCCTAAATATACCCAAATATTACCAAATTATACTAAAAATAAATGTTTTCTACTAAAAAAGTGCTGTTTTAATCATGAATACAATATACACTTTCACTAAGATATAATCAAACATATTCAAATATACATTTTCCTATCATTGTGTTTTAAACCAAAATACTGTATATTTACTCCGTTAAACTATTTTTTTTTAAAATAACATAGACACTTGTATATGATATGAAATTTCAACAAAAAAACACCTTAAAAATGTTAGTTAAGACAACAAATACCATATCCATATCTTGATTTAAAATTGCAAGTACATTCATAAAGAACCTATATAGTAGATAAGCAAATGTCACAACTTTATTTTCTTACAACATCTTAACTGCCCATTTCAACGGAATGAATAAAAGTTATAGCAGGCTTCTATTTTTATCTATTTTTAAGTCATATTAGTTTATAAATACTTATTTAATTCCCATTATAATCTATATTTTATACAAACAAAAATAAATATTGCTATATTTGGGTATATTTGGGTATATTTGGGTATTTCGTGCCGCCGTATTAAGGGAAAACAAGGCAACGGGCTGATTTTAGACTTGAAGCTCACTGGAACTCTCAATCAATCACCGAATTCTAATGTTAAACAAAGGCACTTCACTAAAATTTTAAAATCAAGATGTATATACATATTAAAGGTATAACTTATACACGTAGTTGCAAATACCAGTAGTCAAAGTCAAAGCAACATACGTTTATATATAAAAAACTATTGGCTGATTCATAGTCTTGTCAAAGTGTTGTATTATAAGGAGGAATTGGCATATAACTATATAGTAAGTGTAGCGAAGGTACATGTGGAACAAACGTTTATGGATGACCCGTAATGTGCTTCTATAGAAAGTATTAAGGCTTCCTTTATATTTGTACATACGAATTTACAATCAATGTGTGGAGCGAATTGTCGAGAAAATGAACCTAAAGGTTTTCGATTTCGAGTTATGTTTACCTACAAATGAATTGGAAAATAGGAAAAAAAGTTTATTTGGCTCTTCCATATTTCATTGATAGTTAATTTTAATGTCATGGCATTTAATTATCTGATTATGACATTTGCAAATATTTGTTTTAATGGCTTAAGTGAGTGCCAAAAGCAGGCCCAATACACCAAACAATCTAGAACCGTAACTGTGATATTATATTTACTATATATACACGTTTTGATTGACTATTTCTGAAAGGAAATTTCAGCATAAATATTTAGCTACCAATATGTGGAAATATGCCTCAATCTAATAACGGAATATCCTATAAATTATAAACAGGAAAATCCTTTTACCTGGATATATCAATACTTTAAGATGAAACAAATCTACCATCACTACTATATAGTTATATCCCAATCGCTCTGTATTTAACAACACTTTGACAAAACTATAAATATGTCGATAGTTTCATATATTTATGTATGTTGCTTTGACTTTGCAAACTGGCATTTGCAAACTTTAAACTAAATTTTTGACGTTACAATATATATATTTAATATATAATTTAATATAATAATAGTTTTAATGTTTCAATACTTAATTGCAATTTGTATTTATGTTAATACAAATTCATAGATTATAGAAAAATGTCTTTGTTAAAAATGAGAATTCGACGATTGATTAAGAGTTGTTGTGAGCTCTAAGCGTAAAATCAGCCCGTTGCCTTGTTTTCCCTTAATATGAATCAATCCGGTGCCCTAAAAAAAATTACAGGGTTGTCAAAAAATACGCATGACAAATCGTTACTGGACAAAACATTTTACTAAAACCATTAAATTATCGCGGAATGATTTTTTTCTTTAGTTGATCATGGAATTCTTGAAAAATCATATATAATAATGACTTTTTTTGGCAATTTTATGCTACTGTTTGCTACTACTTCACTGACATGTGAATTTTTTTTTCCGATTCCAACTCATAAAAGACCATTAAAAAACCTAATAAAGTTGTATATGAATTCCTTAACCATTGCAATGTTCCGTGCAAGTAGAATATTCAAAGACTTACAGATGTAAATGTGCTTATTTTATATATTTTCTTACCTTGTCAAGCTAAAAATCCATCTTATCTGAATCAATCCGGTGAAAAAAATCCAAATCAGTTCAGGAACGGGAAAATATTCCAAATCAGTCCGGAACGATTACGCACCGTGGTACAGATTTTATAATTTTTAACCTAGAGACATGACGTGATTTAATTCAGATAAACAGATAAAAGCATAAAAAAAAAGGGTGTTTTGATTTTTGAATTTTAATATGATATCCACATACTGCCAGTTTTCAATCACAACCACTTTTCAATCATCCCTAGATGTCCTAAAAACACAATTCTTTTTCACCCCTGTTAAGAATGGGATACATGGATACAAGGGTTACATTGGTTACTTATGGTTACAAAATGTTTTAATAGAAAACGTATACTTTTTTCCAAAAAATATTTGATGCATGAATTTTGTTGGTCATACAGTCATACAGGGGACAGATAATACCACAAGGGTCATACAGAGGGATAAAGGAATATTTTGCTTATTTTAGTCCTTCTCAGAGAGTCATACAGTCATACAGGGGACACATAATACCACAAGGGTCATACAGAGGGATACAGGAATATTTTGTACATTTTAGTCCTCAGAGAGCCATACAGTCATACAGGGGACACATAATACCACAAGGGTCATACAGAGGGATACAGGAATAATATTTTGTACATTTTAGTCCATCTCAGAGAGTCATACAGTCATACAGGGGACACATAATACCACAAGGGTCATACAGAGGGATACAGGAATATTTTGTACATTTTAGTCTATCTCAGAGAGTCATACAGTCATACAGGGACACATAATACCACAAGGTCATACAGAGGGATACAGGAATATTTGTACATTTTAGTCTATCTCAGAGAGGTCTACAGGGGACACATAATACCACAGGGTCATACAGAGGGATACAGAAATATTTTGTACATTTTAGTCCATCTCAGAGAGTCATACAGTCATACAGGGGACACATAATACTACAAGGGTCATACAGAGGGATACAGGAATATTTTGTACATTTTAGTCTATCTCAGAGAGTCATACAGTCATACAGGGGACACATAATACCACAAGGGTCATACAGAGGGATACAGGGATATTTTGACCATTTTAGTCCATGTCGGAGAGTCATACAGTCATACAGGGGACACATAATACCACAAGGGTCATACAGAGGAATACAGGAATATTTTGTACATTTTAGTCCATCTCAGAGAGTCATACAGAGGACACATAATACCACAAGGGTCATACAAAGGGATACAGGAATATTTTGACCATTTAAGTCCATCTCAGAGAGTCATACAGTCATACAGGGGACACATAATACCACAAGGGTCATACAGAGGGATACAGGAATATTTTGTACATTTTAGTCCATCTCAGAGAGTCATACAGGGGACACACAATACCACAAGGGTCATACAGAGGGATACAGAAATATTTTGACCATTTAAGTCCATCTCAGAGAGTCATACAGTCATACAGGGGACACACAATACCACAAGGGTCATACAGAGGGATACAGGAATATTTTGACCATTTTAGTCCATCTCAGAGAGTCATACAGTCATACAGGGGACACACAATACCACAAGGGTCATACAAAGGGATACAGAAATATTTTGACCATTTAAGTCCATCTCAGAGAGTCATACAGTCATACAGGGGACACACAATACCACAAGGGTCATACAGAGGGATACAGGAATATTTTGTACATTTTAGTCCATCTCAGAGAGTCATACAGTCATACAGGGGACACACAATACCACAAGGGTCATACAGAGGGATACAGGAATATTTTGTACATTTTAGTCTATCTCAGAGAGTCATACAGTCATACAGGGGACACATAATACCACAAGGGTCATACAGAGGGATACAGAAATATTTTGTACATTTTAGTCCATCTCAGAGAGTCATACAGTCATACAGGGGACACATAATACCACAAGGGTCATACAGAGGGATACATAGAGGATATTGAATGAGTGTAAGTTCAATACTGAATTTATTGCACGAGTTGAATAAAATTATATTATGCGAGCCTCTGGCGAGCATAATATTATTTTATTCAACGAGTGCAATAAATTCAGTAATGAACTTACACGAATTTAATATTCTATTTATCACATACCCAAAATAAAGACCATTTAAAGTGAAATAAGAGTCATTTTTCATTGACGCGCCTATAGTATAACGCTAACATTTAGCGCGTCTTTACACTATGTTTGTATAACGCTAATGACGTCACGTCAAAATATATGCACGGCCGTGCAATACCATATTTACGGAGTCGCAAAATCGGCACGG